TGTGTGTGTGTGTGTGTGTGTGTGTGTGTGTGTGTGTGTGTAAAACAGAGAGTCATGACAAGACGGAACAAATTGTCATTTTAGTCAGTGTTTGCATTACTAAAACATTTTAAACTAATCTCACCATCCTGAGTCAGATGCATATTTGTGTGCAGTCACATACACACGTACACACACAAGCATCTCAGAAATATTATCTAGAGAAACAGATAGCGCAGCAAGCAGGAAGTGTCACAAACCCAAACAGAGATTAATGTACAGTATGTGTGAAGAATTCAGGGAATCCAGCGGGAGCAAATCTCCTGTTTGTCCATTAGGTGCTCGAGCAGAGTTCTGCTCCTGAACACCAAGGCAGAAACATTTAMTAAAACTATTCCGAATGAACAATTTGAATGGCTTGGTTTTTAATACGCTATGTTTTCTGCTGAGAATCTGACTGCATGCATTAAAAAATAAACATTTACCGGTATTTACGTGGTTTATAAGAAGTGTTTACACCGATGTTTGAAGCAGAAAAGTGAGAGCTGGTTTAGATTTACAGAACAGTGAGAAAAGCTTTACAGCATTTTTCAATACATCACTAAGATTTTTATACTCTTGTTTTATTTTTTTTAAGACCAGCTATAACAAAAATGCCAAAATGATGTGTGGAATAAGCACGTCCTCTTATAATTYATCAGCTTTAGCAGCAATACTTGGAATTGTCTTTTTTCAGCCTCATCACTTCAGCACATCACTGAGGAGAAATATTTCCTCATATTTCTTTAGAAAACTGCTTCACTAAGACTTTAATATGGCTTTACCTTTAACTCTCCCCATTACATTTAGAAAAGGTTAAGTTTTATGAACCAATTGGAGCTAAACAGATCACACATGAACACGAGATTTCACAATATCATGGAATTGCACATAAAGCTTTTTTCCCAAGGTTAGACGGTTGTAAGCACAGCGAGACAAAAAGCTTTTCTTCAAGGACTTCTGGGCCTTTAATATGAGATTGTCCTTCACAAATGTACCAGCTGATAAATACTCTTTTTATGTCCTGAAGTACAAAAACCTCAGAATTTAAACAAAATGCTCTCTCATCTTGTAAAACTGTACCCGGACTAAATATGTAAAATATGTCTGCTCAGATTGCTGAAACTGATGGTGGGACAGCAGAAATAAATGATAAATAAGCGGTTTGTGAGCGAGGACAGTTCGATCAGCAGATGGAAGAACAGAAAACAGCAGTTGGGAGAAAAAAATAATAATCCAGCAAATCCAGAGCTGAGGAAGAAAAACAAGCCAGATTTGAGCATTTCACTTAAAATGGAGACAAAGCAATCACCGACACTTCCTGTTTCCCATCATGCATTATTCAGGAAAGCAACGTGTTACCAGTTGAGAGGCTGACAGAGCCGACAGCAGAGGATCTAAGCAGCTGTTTTATTAATGTTACTCCAAGATGAGACCAACGTGAAATGAAACACGATGACAAATGTGGGAAGACACTTCAGAGGAACAGTAAACAGATTCGTCATTCTACAAATCACACGTTTTGTWTCTTCAATTCAACACACTGGCTCTCAACCGTGGCATTCAGGTTTTTCACARTGTGTGGTATTTATACTGTATTTAGCTGGTTGCAATTCATGTTGCTACATGTCTTGTTTGTTTTTTACATAAAAACTGATGTATTTGATTGAAGTATTTAGTAAAAAAAATGCATTAAATCACTTGACCGTTACTTGACCGTTACTGTACATTTTGATCTCATGTTTAGCATATTTGAATGAAATGAGATGAAATTATTTTGTTTGTTTTCCTCAAAATATTTTCAGCTGTGAAAGTGCTGCAAACGCTGTGAAAGCTTTGAAGGTTGATAAAAAAATAGGACTGTGTTTTTGTACCACACCGTGCACTATCTGCAGCACCCACGCCTTGATGGCACACTGGCAGAAAGACCCTGCTGCCTCTCAGGGGGGGCTTATCAAGCATTCAGCTGGGATACTGCTGCAGCAGGACAGTGCAATGGGGCCTGTGTGTGTGTGTGTGTGTGTGTGTGTGTGTGTGTGGGAGGGGGGGGTGTCCAAACTGAACCTGAATGAATTCCCCTCTGTGCTGGAATAAATGAAAGGGACGGACCACACACAGTCAGAAGTTGAGAGGAGCTAACTCACAAGGATTCATGCAGACAGGATGCAGAGCAGAGGAGTCTGCGTGCTTCAAGATAAGAAGATTCTTTGGAATATGACAAMTAATTAAAACTGTTTTTATTTACCCATTCTTTAGTTCGTTACGGCATGACCGAGAAAGTGGGCAGAAAGAAAAAAAGAAGAAGAAAGAGAAAGCCTCCATAAATGAAGCGTATACAGAGCCCGAGCAGCTAAAGAATCTAGTCATTTATTGAATTTGTTTGGTGAACTGTGTCCTGTTCTGCTTTGCTGCCTCAGTTGGGTAAGAAAAAAAAAAGTAGTTGACTTTTTAAGATTCGTTGTATAGGTGTTAAGCTGTCTTCTCTCTATGCCTGTATCWTTTTTGTTAAAAACACCATCTCACTTCTGCCCTTTCCCTCCATCTGGGCCTCCTTACACGTCAAAGTCGTACCATCTTACAGCAGCACCTTGCTGACGCWGCTTCTGCTTTGGTTAAAAATGGAAACCACACTCAAAGTGTTTGGTCAGGGACTTTTGACAGCCAACATTTATCACTGTGATATGACCACGGCYGACGGGATGTACGGGGATGTATAAAGCCTGGTTGGGGGTGGGTGCATATTTGTGGATATAAATGTCCAAATCGTGCTTCCATAAAATRCAAAAAGTCAAAGAAAACATCTTTATATTTAAGACACTTGGCATAATACACATGATTTTACCCATTATGTCACATAATTGGCATATTTTACTTTGAACTTTGCTCAGACAAAGTGAAACAGGAAGTGACATCAAAGGGGAACACTGARTAAGAAAATTGTCGTGTTTTAGTTTATTGAAACAATATTATTTGACTCTTCCTCATCTCTCTATAATAGTAATTAAAACAATCTAAAGAAACATCAGATTCTTCTCTACAGTCTGTTTGTTATTGTAGCAATGCTCTGTTCACATTCAGWCATTCCCCTTTGACATCACTTCCTGTTACTTCACATGTAAGTATCTCAACAGCTGTTCATCTCAGCTGCATGAAATGTTTTTTTTACAATATGCTGTCAATGTTACCTTTCCAAAAATGCATTAATGTTTTTTACAAAAAATTGATGTCACAGGCACTTTAAAACTAGAGCTTGAAAAGTTAAGAATAAATCAACAAAAAAAAAATCATATACAAGACAAGCAACCAAAAAAAACATTTATTTCTGTATGGCCTGTGATCTTTGTAGATTTTTTTTCTTTAAACTTAATACAAGGATACGAATACAAAGGAACTCTGAAAACAAATTGAAATAATTCAAATGGACAAAATGTTGAAAAACTGCTTGTGGAACATAGTTTTCTTTAAATAAACTAAAATATAAAGAATTTGTTTGGATTTTTGCTGTAAAAGGGCAAAGTTAAAATCACTTTGCACATTCTTTAGAGTTACCCCGATCAAAGTACGACGCAAACAAACCAAGAAAACTGAAATAACATCTGTGCCCATCAATGAGAGTACTATTTCACTACTGTAAAAAAAAAAACAGCAACTCGTTTGTGATAAATTGAGWTCTGAGTTATTTTCCAATTTCAAGCATCATTGAAAATAGATCAATTTTCTCAAATTCTCAAATCGTATTTGAGAGAAATTAAAAGGGTTTGATGGTAACAATTACAAACAAATTGAGAAGAAAAGAAGTTCAGGTGTTAGCACAAACAGAATACAGACGGGAGCATGTGTACATTTGAGTTGCAGAAGGAATTACAGCTTGTGTAGCCTCTCATAATTTTCATACTATTTCCTATTTTTTGTGTGTTTATACATCACCTGGTTTGTCGCAGAGGAATAGGCAGAGAGATGCATAAAAACGGGTCGAAGGTGTTGCTCTGTTTAAGGCAATGAGGACACGTGAGAGAAGACCTGAAAAGACAAAAATAAAACGTCAATGCAAATCTGAAGTCTGGTCTGCAGCTGAGGGAAAGTCTTCTTTTACACACTGTGACATGAAATGTAATAACCTTTAGGAGGCCTAAAACAATAAGGCAACAAGGAGGGGAAAAAAAGAGATTAAATAAGCTGAAGAAACAGGAGAAGATATTTTGAGGTAACGAAAATGATGAAATAAGCACTAAAATAAAAACAAAGAACAAACTTACAAAGTACTGTAGGTTAAAAGCAAAGAGAGGAAAACTAAAGTAGGGGGACATTGGCAAAAAAAGAAAGTCGTCAGAAGGACAGGTGAGCTGACAAAAAACTAAAATACAAAGCTGACAGAGATAAAAAATTCTAATAAATAAATAATAAAAAAGCCCAGACAGTTCCTTGTTGAAGCTGAAAGAAGTGGAGMTGATGGGAGCAGAGGATTGACAGCAGTGGGCCGCTATCAGGAAGAATCTGTTTTCTGACAGTTTTCAAGAGATGATGGAGACCTTACACGGAGGCGGAGGAAAGCATCACTGAAAAACCAAATGCTCAACCATAGAAAACCTTAAAACATATATCCAAACTTTGGCTCAAAATGAAGATATGGATAAAGTTTTGTTTTAGAACATTTTATTTTCATGTAAAACAAAGCCATGCGGACTCTGGTTTTGTTTCTTTAAGCGTTTCAACAATGTCAGGAAAACTTTCACAGAGTAAATACTTATTCTCTGCTGTAATCAGTTTTAGTAAAATAGCAAATCTTAAAAAGCCGTGCTTCAGGAATTCAGAGTAGAGTTTGATTCAGACTCATTTTGTCCTCAGTGTCAAGTTGGAGCTCTAAATTGCAATTTCTGCTGTTTTGTCCTATTTCCTTCAAGTCAAYCTCCACTGAAACACGAAGGTCGAAGTAAAACCATCCTTTAATGCCTGCTGCTGTCTGTGTGGATGTGCCCAACAACAGCACCTAATCTGCTCTGAGTGTGCTGACAGGACAGGGGTTCTTAATTTACCGTAAGTTTGCTTGAGGTTGTCCTGCTCGACGTCACACTATGACTTCATTTTGCACAATAAAAAACCCGAAAATGAGATGGAAAAATGCATTCCTACTTGATAATTCTGTGCAGCGAGTGCCTGGCACTCACTTTAAAGTTTGGTTTGAGGGAGACGAGATGTTAGCGGGAAGGAAAGTGCTCATGAGGCTGGGCTTCAGGAAAACACTGCAGGTGGTAAAGCATCAAACCAAAGGAAAGAAGGTCGATGTCTGGACATATTTCCCCTGCTGCTCAGCTGAGCGGTGTGGAATACCCAAACTGATCAATCAAGAAGTTTACTACCTGGCTGCATGTTTACGGGTAAAGTCTATAAAGACATTGTCTTAGAACAACAAGAGGAAGATAAAAAGTCTTTATAATGATGCTTTGAAGAGTGTGATATAAAACCCTTCTGTCATTGTAGTTCCAATCCAAGCGATTGCATATTGTAGGAGCATCTGTTTTGTATTTTTGGAACCAGAGTCTGTGCACTTGGACAGTGGGGCTTTAAGCCCCACCTACTTCCCCACACACACAATTGTATTGCCACATGAACTTTCATTTCAACAGGACATATCATACCTACAAATCTGTCCTTTTCACATTGAAATCATTCAGTGGTGGTCTATATAGAGTGGAACTGCAATTCGTTGGTCTTAATTTCTGGTTCTTGCAGCTCCACAAGCCCATTTTTTTCATTTCTGTTCTAAGATGTGTCTGAGAGCACCGCGCTTTGGTGCGGCCTCTTTAAATGCATATGAGGAACTTTACACCCCACCCCCCTCCATCCTGTTTGGCCATTTCTGTAGTTTGATATACTGTATTGAAATTTAATTAATTTAACCCTAAAATTATCCATAAAGTGGAGGGGTAGTATTATATACGGCTTATTGATGATTAGAATTTGAATAAAAGATGGTGTTCATATTAAACTCGATATCTTATTATACATGAATAAATACGGTAGATATGATCATCTAGCGATGCAGAACCTTCACAAATTAGCCTTACATGTTGGAGCTAGAGTCTGACCCAGAGCGAGAGGAGGATGAAGGTGACAAACCTGCAGAACCGCAAATTTGCAAAATTGGTAAGCCAGAATTCCATGACCTTTTGCAGCAGTTCTGCAGAAAAAACTGTGATGTTTTTGTTCAAAATGCATAACAACAGAGAAAAATTAACAAATTGAAAAATATGACCCGAAAAAGATAAAGATATCTAAATGTAATGGAGTGAGTAGCTGAAGCAAAACGCAGCATCTGAGCGCTTTCAGCATAAACACACATACCCACAAACTTATGACCAATCACACAGTAAGTTCTTATGTGGAGGGGGGTAAAAAGAACTCCAGTGGGTCGTGACAAAAAGGGGCGCCAGATTCAAAGCTGCAAACTAGAATGACAGGATTTTCATTGTGCAACTTCAACAATGAGAGCCGATTTCAGCCGGTCTGATGGCCATTAGTCCTCGACTGACTCTCATCCCAGCTGCTTTACATTTGGTTGTGAACTTCCCCTTTTCACTCTGAAAGTCAAAGAATCACAACATCTGCAAAAAGCAGAGAGGTGACTCTGAGGATCCTAAAGCAGACACCACCCCTCTCCACCACTGCAGCCTGAACTTCTTTTTAAGAACAACACAAACAGCATCGGATACAGAGAACAACCTGCACAGAGAGTTAAACACATCTGCAGCCAGTAACTTTTGTTGGTTTTGGGTTCGTCTTGAATCAAGTCGACACCAAAGGTTAATCAGTTRTAGATGCAAACCCAATGTTCACTTCCTGCAAGTTTCATTAAACTTTGTCCAGTTGTTTCAGATAATTTGGTAAAAGTCAAATAGACACATCACAGGCAAAAATATTATCAAACTTCTCCTTTCAGCAGCAGGTGATAATAAAAGCCACTAYAAAATATGAAGACATCTTCAAGTATTACATTTGTCTAGATAGAGATCGATGCCGAGGCTCTCCGCCCRTCTCCTGTGACATTAAATATAGATGCCGTAAACTGAGAATGACAGTCGGAGATGAGAAGGAGATTTTGACAAAGACTCATTTAAACGCTGAAGCACAACAAGGTGACTCAAGCACAATACTCCCACATAAGCAGCCCAAACCACTAAACAGACCAAACTCTAATCACAAACATTTATTCCAATCAGACGACTCCAGCGAATTCCTCTGAGGAGCCTCTCTGTGTGATATATTAAAAGAACCAAAAAGGAGGAAGGAGTGGGAAGAATGTGAGACCAAGCAGGTGTTATTTACAAAAAGAGAGGATAGATACAGACATGAATATGTAGGCAGCAGAAAATAAAACCACAAATTATTTATTTATTGTGTTTTGTTAGCATTTAGAGGCAAACGAACAAGTCCAGATTTTTCTAGGGATTAGATGATGTAAAAAGGAGGAGGGAAAAATAAATATAACATCTAGGACCCAGTAGACTGAAACTAGCTTCAACTGTGGCAAACGAATGAGACAGAACAAGGACATAAATATGTATATTTATACTTTAGATGGCTGATTGAAACCAGTAAAAAAAAAAAAAAAAACACAAGTTCCCAAACATCTGAATAACTGATTAACTGGGAGTGATTCACTGGAGAGTTCATTTCCTCCACATTTGGAGTTAGAGTCACTAAAAGCATAAGTTGTTTATATACTATTGTGTCTGGACAAAATTTTTGATTTGTCAGAAATTTTGCATAAATTATGACATCATGCATATTGTGAAAATCAAGGACAAGAGCATGCTGTAATAAGCCAACCAAGCTTTGGTCTGTTACTGACAGCAATACACCAACCAGGCACACCTTCCCCACATAGCAGACAGGTGTGGTTMAGATCTTGTGCCAAGCTGGCATTGCTGGCTGACTGCTGGCATGGGAAGTGGTTTGTCAGCCAGATGTGGGCCAGGTCTGGTAATGATGGTACAGTTTTTAAGATGGCACACAACTGGTCCAGTTGTGGTTTGGTTTATGGGGCCAAATCTGTCAACATCACAAATGACCTGGTTGTGGTTTGGTTTATGTGGCCAAATCTGTCTATGCCACAATAGGCCCAGTTTTGTTTTATGCAGTCCAAATCCGTCAACACCACAACTGTCCTGGTGGTGGTTTGGTTTAAGTGGCCCAAATATGTCAATACCACAACTGGCCTGGTTGTGGTTTGCTTTATGTGGCCCAAATCGGTCTATGCCACAACTGGCCCAGTTTTGCTTTGTTTTATGTGGCGCAAATCTGACAATACCACAACTGGCCTGGTTCTGGTTTGTTTTATGTGGCCCAAATATGTCAATACCACAACTGGCCCAGTTTTGCTTTGTTTTATGTGGCCCAAATCTGTCAATGCCACAATGGCCCATATATGTCAATACCACAACTGGCCTAGTGGTGGTTTGCTTTATGTGGCCCAAATCTGTCTATGCCATGACTGGCCCRGTTGTGGTTTGTTTTATGTGTCCCAAACCTGTCAATCCCACAAGTGGCCCGGCTGTGATTGTGTTTATGTGATGCCACCAAAGGGCCATCATCCTTTGCAGTATCAAGGCCAAGAAATTTTGCTCCATGGGTCATGTCCATACTCATGGATCACGGATTATGATAATTGAATCTTTTACAATCTGTCACTTCATAAAAAATAAATAGTCCAAATATCTAATCATTTTAATATTTCCTAAAAGATAAAACCCAAGATTCAAAASAAGGTTGCACACTGAACTGAAGCCCGAAATGACAGATTCAACCTTTTCTTTTATCGAAACAGAACAAAGAGTTGCCATGTCTGGTTCAGAAGGCGAAGTCTCTGTCCAAAAGAGATAAAATGTTGCAACTTGAAGGTGAAATATTTCATTCTTGTCAGTTGTTGTTTTCCAGACACAGAAACAGCCTGTTCTAAATGCTGACAACAGCACACCTCACACTGATACATAAAAGATACACAGTCAGGCTGTGGAACAAAGAGCTGATTATCACAGTTGTTTTCTGTCCTACTTTTATATCAGCATGTTTGAACCAAGCGGTTTGTTCCTCCTCTTCAAAAATCACATTTCAGATCATATAGCTGTTCAATCACAAAGTTAAAGTCAAAAGTGATAAAAAGCAGGTGGGATGTAATGAAACCACAGGGAGCCTTTTGTGCTAAAGAGATTTCTGCAAGCTTAAGTCAGATCCATTGACAAAACCTCCATCTCTAACTTTATACTGCTGGTGAAACACAGAGAGACAGGGCTMAGGACTACAAATAAAACTACAGATAAACATGTCTGACCTCATTTTTACAAGGTTGCACTTCTTATTCTGCGGGGGGGTAAAAAACATGTTCTCATCAGAGTTGAACAGATATTCTCTTTAATGGTATTTATTGCATGGTGTTAACTCAAGAATCAACTCCAAAACCTTACTGTTGTAGCAACTGTGCTGAATAATTGATGAGTTTCAAAAGTAGTTCTCCTCCCTTTTCAGATTTCAAACTTTTGTTTACAATTTATTTTTTAACAGAAATACTTTCAGGCTGCTACAACAAGTAACACTGCATCTGAAATTATCCTTAAACTAAAAGCTAACTATCATGGAGCGTTCTCCAAGAAATGATACTTCGACCTCTGGTTGTGTCGGGTCTAATGGCGCCTCTCACCTGTATTGTGCCTGGAAGTGTTCCTGGACAAAACTGTGACGACTCCGAGGCTGATGTGTGCTGGGTAAACCGGGACTGGAAGGATTYTCCAGTGAATTGGCCTCCTGTAAAAAAAAGAGACATGACCACTTTGTTAGGTGATCATAGGAAAGGGGGAGKGGGCATAACACTAAAATATATGGACCTGTATGACTCCAGAAGAGACAGGTGCAATTCAATGCATTCATAGAAACAGCTCATGAAGATGTTGGCTACAGGGCAACAAAGACTAGCATGACTAATATTGTACTTCTAATACAACTTCTGCATGTTTTACTTTGTTTCTCTACTCTAACATCTGATATGAATGAATGGATGATTAAAAAATTTTACCAGAAATTGGAAGAAGTAATTAAGAGCGTTTTCACACCTGACAGTCCGGTAGACTCGGTTCAATTGGGGACCAAAATTGCAACATTTGTTACATTTTCAGCTGCTGCAGTTCCCTTTCCCACTGCACTGAGTCATACAAAACAAACCCTTTAAGTAACCCATGGACATGAGTAACTTTATTAATCAGAATGTCCTCCGCTGTATTCCACTTGCTGTTTTTGGAGCGGTATCCTGTCCAATTGGCATTCACACATATTCAAATCCCACCAGAGTTCACTTTGACCGAGATGAGATGAGTATATTCACACCTGACACATTTGGTCCACTTTAAATGGACCAGTGTTCATTACCCCTGTTGGTCTGAACCTTTTATGCGGGTGTGAATACACTCATGCAAACCCTGGTGTGGATCAAACTACCGGACCGAGTGGTCTTGGTCTGCTTTCAAACGAACTCTGGTGCAGTTCACTTATGGTGTGAATACAGACCGGCCTCGAACCGAACCAACTACATGAAATATGTGCCTTTTTGGACTTCACGGGCCACCGTAGCTAAGCAACATTAACCCTCCAGTATGGCTAATGCTAACACTGCACTACAAAAAATGAGTTGTTGTGGGTCAGAGAACATGGAGCAAATTGTCTCCTTTAGGTTGCGGCACGCATTTGACCACGCTGTCACAAAATTATAAGCATATCATCGCAAAACCACCACTGAATGAGCTGCTCTTGATACTCTGAATAGTTTTATTAACAGCACCATCTTTATCTATATGTCTTTGCACTGTCTTGCCCCCGTTATTTCTCTCCAACGGGAGCAATGACCGTCACCTGCAYGGCTTTGTTTATAAATTAAAGTCCACTTGCAAAAAGCACAATGTGAATGCAAACCACACCAAAGGAAAAAAATTAAGTCTGCTATTTTTTCCGGACCAAACAAGTGGACCAAAGGGCTTTTTCTGGTGCTAATGCACCCCTAGGTTTGTAGGCAGACCACGGTTCACTTTACTGGTCCGCACCAAAGTTTGATTACGCATTCACACTCCTCCTTACCTAACTAATCCACTTCTTTAAAAAAATCGTGTCTGCTGAACAATTCACTGCAGGAAGTCAGCTGGATGTATAAAACAAATTTTAGTCAGCACAAACTGCTCACTGTTAAGTTTACCAAGCAAAGTAACAGGCCTGACATGAAATCTACAAGAAGTCGCACTACTTTTCCTTTCTCCATCATTTAACATTACAACAAACTGTCATCACTGARGAGCCCCATGACGTTAGCTCATGATAACAGGAAATTCTCTGTACTGAAGACAGTCCATCCCATTTCTCCACTTCGAGCCTCACCATGGCTCAGTTCTATGTGATCAGTCAAACATTTCTCAGTGCAWCTATCGTCAATGTCTTTGCACTGTGTGCCACAACTTCCCTCTGGAGATCTGCACACTCCAATCCCTGCATGAAAACATTTTCTGGTATCAAAGCCCTGCTGATCCCCCAAAGCATGCAGTCATGTGTGATGTTTCTAAGGGACTCCTCAGAGCGCTCTTCCTGATGGGGAAACTAAAGTCTAAAGTACATCCTGGAAGTTTAGTTTTAAAACCTAAAACCATTCCAACAGTGGAAAACAGTGGGTCTTATGTCTGCATGGATGAACAAGTAAATTTAGCTTCAAAACATGATGGATGAARTAAGATGGATGGGAGGAATGAAAATAAGGCACAGAATATTTTTAAAAATGGACGTTTCCCAATGAATTTGAAATTGGTTCATGTATCTCTGGTCTGTGGCAACATCTTGAGTCAATAAAGATGCACGAGCAGCACAAAAAGCAATATGACATGAATCATGATACAATTTATCCTTTATTCATTATACAATCTTACAGTTAATATAATACAGAAAAAAGAAAGAAAATGAATATTCTGTCAATTGATAAGGCAGCTTTTTATTGCATAATGAAATACTGTATTATCACTAGCAAGTCTTATTCAAATTTTCTAAAATTTTACTCAAAGAATACACAGAAGCAAGGTTTAAACATTAAAAAATGAATAAAATAAAAAAAACCTTTAGAAGCTGTTCCAGTTGATGCTGATGCTGCTTCAGTTCTGAACAGTGGCCACAGCTCTGACTGTGATGCCTTCAACTTGTTTGGATTCTCTAGTACTTTTCTTATGTTCCTTTTTAAGTAAAACATCCACTCCCACATCAGAGAGGAACTTCCCAACAATCAGCTGCCACCAAATGATGATTTATCCATCCAGAGAACTTGGCTGCCTGCTGTGTGTGGTCCCACTTGTTGGATTTAGTACCTTGTGTAACATCTTGGCATAAATTTCTGATTTTAGAAAAATCAAACTAGCGCATGACAAGGACTGTGTCTGTGAAAGTACAACATTAAAAAAGTAGTTGAGGATGACATCAAGATGAGTTTATTTTTAAGAACAATTCCAACAATAATACCCTAAAAATTACTCTGTAGACACTCAAAATAGGTTCACGGTGAGAGCTTTGCAAAGAATATGAGCACAGTTGTCCTCAAAAAGAGCAACTGTCAATGTAAATAGGTAGTTTTGTGAGTTGTGGAACACTGAGGCCTTTGGAGTGCCTGTGACATAAAATTATTGTAATAAATTTGAGAGCATTTTTGGAAAGGTGACATTGATAACGTAAATATTTGAAAAATTCACACCGCTGAGATGAAGAGTTGGTGAGATATTTGTACRTGAAATAACAAAGTGATGCCAAAAGGTAACATATAAACATGAACAGAGCATTGATACAATGGCTAACAACGCATACTGTGATGCTTATTTAGATTATTGTAAGTCACTATTCAAAGAGGAATGAAAAAGAGTCAGAGTTCAAATAATATTTCATTTAACAAAGACCAGAGTTTTCCTTTTCTTAAAAAGTTCCCCTTTGATGTCACTTCCTGTTTCACCTGGCTGGTCCAAGTTCAAAATTGGAATATGGCAATTATGTGACAAAATGGGTAAAATCATGTGCATTACRCTAAGATGTTTTCTTWGACTTTTTGTATGTGAAGAATATGCATGTCATGTGTGGCGCTTTAAAACAATCATAAAATGAAACAAGCACTCCTTGAAGGAATGAAAATTAACCATCACTTTGCATTCCTAAGTTTTAAACAAACAGACATGACTTTTAGCTCCAACCACAACAAACTTAGCTCAATATTTACAAAAMTTACCAAATTATAGCTATTTATGTGGTTGCTAATATAAATTAGCTGAGGTAGCCATCTTGAATTGTGTTGACTTTAAATTTTTATCMGCTGTAGAYACAACTGGAAGTAWTAGTTTGAGAGTTTCATTRAAACTGRACAAAATGCTGCTGATTTTATTCACAGGCCACTTTAAAKAAGTGCTGCTCAGACGTGTTCACAGCTTCTGCCTTTAACAGTTTGTCTGCACTTTTCTGACATAAATATGCACAAGTTTGTGCTCAGTGAGGATCTTTTTGTGGAGTAAAAGTGACCACGTTTTAATCTCTGTCAGCAGCTTGACGCTGTCACTCTCTTGCAGGAGGAGACGTCTCCCACTGAGCGTGTGAATTAGACGAGCCAATGTTGACACAGCTCTCAGCTGCTTCAGGAGACAGACCAACCACTGTCTTTCAGAGGAGAACTACACCACACAGCTTGTGCCATTTTTTTTTTTTTTTTTTTTGGTACAGGACAGGTTTTAATGAAACAAGTCTTGCATGTAGAATTTGTCAATAACGGCAGACATTAGAGCATAGAGACAAAAATAGTCTTCTGCAGATACCTAGAAGTTATGACATTTAACAATAAGCACTAAATTTATAGCAGAACAACGAACTGAATATTAAAGCAGCTGAAACATATTCTTACAGTGAAGTTTTAAAATCCATAATATGTCACTTTTAAGGTGAAAAACTCGGAAAACAATAAGAAAATCGAATCTTTTAAAAAACCAAAGGATAAGAGACTTATATGCGGGGGAGGAAGGGGTGCTAAGCCAAGTATAGACTGACTCACAGACAGATAAGGGAACGTGGTCCAGAGCAGGAGTAAAAAAAAGAAAGAAAGAAAGAAAGAAATGCTGTCCGTGCATTAAACCAGCTGAGTCACGTCTATTCTTTCTGCTCTGGGCAGCTGCTATTTCAGCCCATTCAAAGCTGGCTTATGGTAACAAGGCAAGCTRTGAGATAACGGTGGACATCACAAGCGTTTAAGCCCCGTCTTCCTCGGCTCAGTGAGGCCATCGCGAACCACGTTTTACTCTCGCGTCTTTGTTTCAACTACAACGGGTGTCAGATTCAAGCAAGGATCCAAGAAACTGTGCTTTCTCCTGACAAACTGAAACATAAAATGCATTCATTTATTGTTGCCAAAACAAAGTCCAGTACCTTCCTCTGATCTCGGACTTGTCCCTTGAGGGTGTTTCATGTACCCACTTCATTTCAARCAAGTACAGCTAGCCAGCCAGTTACTATGGCAATGCCAGCAGAGCTAATACAGAAGCAGAATGTAAAAATAAATAAATAAATAAAATAAGCCGCCTCGGACAAGAGCTAGAGGCAGAGCTCTGACAGCCAAATCTGGCTTGGCAAAGACCGGCGCCATCTCTGCGTGTGTGTCTAATCTGCATGCTGGAGGTGTTTACTCCACCGAAAAAAACTGAGCTGGAGAAATAAAGGAGTTTATGTCACACGTTGGGATGGAGAGTGGAGAGTTTATTGGC